GGTTCAAAGACGGAAGAGCAAGATTGAGAAGACGCGAAGAAGGCGCCGCGTCGCTGCCGACGAAGACGACGCATGAAGAAGAAGCTGCACTGGTATGTGTGAGCGAGCGCCTTCATCCCTCGACGGGACAACCGCCCTTTTTCCTTCGAGAGCAAACCACCCTTTCCCTCTTATGAGAAACATGAATCGGAGCGTGGAGTTTACGGTACCAGGAGGGGGGTTGGGTGGACATGTTTCATTCGGCATCTCTTTCAACTTGATTGGCTTTTTTTTTTTTCCTTCACTGCATAGCACTGATCTTGGGGATCTGGTCGCATTTACAACCGCAGAGTACGTCGGATGGGAAGAGAAGCGGAGGCTTTCAGCATACCCGGCAACGGACCTGACTGCATTTGGAGGTGGGGGAGGGCGTTTATCCATAGAATCACGGAGTTCCAGGCGGCGATGGGGCCAGCGGGGGGCATAGCATGCATGGCAGCGCGACTCGCGTCACGTTTTGCTGCGAATCATTTTGCATCCATCATGGATTATTTCCAGGAGATTTTTTATTTCATTTGATTATAAAAAACCTAATCAATGAGTACTTCCCGTGCCTGATCTGGGTGACCATCCAGACAGACAGACCCTCTGAACGCCGAGCAAAGTGAGAAAGCCCTAGAGGAGTACCGGACTGGTATGAGATGCCGGGGGCTCAGACCGAGCCGAGGGTGAAGACTGCAGACTGTACAGCATGTGTGATGTTGTGGGTGTGGTGAGTGCCCGGCGCTGGTGAGATGGGCGGGGAGGATATAGAGTGGTGGCGAAGGCGGAATCGTGAGAGGGGAGTCAGAGGCGGGACATCGAGACAGACGCCCGTTTACGCCTCGACCCGTTTACGCCCTCGACCTTCGTCGTGTCCACCAACACGGCATCGCCGTCGACGCTGGGCGGGTTCGTCGAGTCGGCCTTCTCGCTGTCGAGCTCCTTCATAAAGTCGGCCTGAATGGTACCCCGGCGCTTCTCCCACCACTCCTTCTCGGCGTCGACCTGGTCCTGGATCTCGTCGAGGCGGTTGCGCACCACCGTGTTGGCGGCAATCTCGTTGGCGGACTGGAAGATGATCTGGCCCCAGTTGGGCGCGAGGGCGTTGGCCTGCGGCGGGGGAGGAGACACGCACATGTTAGCGAAACGACACGGTGCCCGGATCCCTCGCAAGAACGTACCTCCATGACGACATCCCTCAGTTCGTCCTCCATCTCCTTCTCGGCGCGCTGGAACCGCTGCCACAGATCGTCGCCGACGCTGCCCTTTTGCAGCAGCGAGCTGCACGCCTGCTTCGCCGTCCTGATCTGCACGAGTCTGTGGATGTCCTCGACGGCGCGCCGCAGCAGTGCCGCCCTGATGACGCTGTCGGGGATGCGGGGGCCCTTCTCGGAGGGGTCCTCGGGGTTGATGTGCAGGAGGGAGAGGTAGATGTTGCGCTGGAGGTGCGGGCCGAACCACGGCGCCAGGTTCGCGCTCTGTGCTAGAAAGAAGGGGAAAAAAGGCAAAGTCAGAACCGCTGCGGGCACACTGGGCAGGAAGAAGAGCTTCATCGCAACGTACCGGCCTTGCGCTTGCGGTAAATGTTGGAAAAGGTGAAGAGGGCGCTGCCGAGGACGAGAACGTAGGCGGCAGGGAGCACGAGGCTCACCCAGTCGACTTCGGGGATGCCAAAGCTGACCATGGCTGCGGTTTCCGCGTGTGCGAGGGTAAATGCGTTGGCTGCAGAGTGGTCGATGTCTAGCAGAGAGAGGCAAGCGAAGGTGGAGGGGTTGGTGGTGGTGGTGGTGCGCGTAAGGAGTGTCGCGATGGTTCAAAGATGCCAGCTTTGGGGGGGAAAGTGACCCTTGTCCGTTTGACGTGATGCAACTTGTACTTTTCGAGTCGAGGCAAAGCAGAGATGTGGCTCGATTGCGCCGCAGGGTTCGTTGGCTTATCTAATCTACTCTCACCCTGGGCACCCCGAAAGCCTAGGTACTAAGGGTACCTACCAAGCCTACCTACCAAGCCTACCTAGGAACCTACCTAAGGTACCTAGGCCGTGGGAACCTTGGTCCCTAGGTTGGTAGGCCCACTGCGATTCCGCCCCGCGCTGTTAAGGGATCCACTTGTGCTGGAGGCAGCTCCTGATGACGCTGGACCTGACGACCCGGAGGCTGTTGCATTTGTGAGCACAGCACTGGTACTACCACCACCACCACACATCTTACCCGACCAGAGCTTCGAAGCCATCATTAAGCTTCCACCTACCCAGAAAGGCCCTTCTACAAAGAACTCCAAATCCCTGGCGCGTCATTCTTCGAACCTGCCGCCTCCAATCCTGACTCTATTTGTCCCTGCATTTTCGCATTCCACCGCTCCCGAACCCTGCTGTTCACCCACCACCTTAACCACCAAAGCACGAACCAGACCCTGTCTCGCGTACCGACATCGACAACCCTAGCTTGCAGCAGGAAGACTGACCGCCATGTTACTGAGAGTCCGTGGTCCGGATGGCATGAGCCGTCTGACCGTCGACCAAAACGACAACTTTGGAGATCTCGGCCGCCAGCTTCTTCCCAACCTGCCCACCACTGTCGACCCCACGACCATTACCCTCTCCAACAACCCCAACGGCAACGATTCCAAGCGCCTGGGGGACATCGCCAACTTCAAACTCGGACAGATCGGTCTCAAGTAAGCCTGCTGTTTGCTGGCCATCATATGTTCAAGTCATACTAACGGGGCGCGCCCGCGCAACAGGCACGGCGATCTCATCTTTATTACATACAAGCACCAAGATGCTCTTTCCAATGGCGACGCTCATGGAGCCACACCATCGACTTCAGCCCAGATCCTCCCTTCTTCCAACCGACTGAATGGCAAACCCATCCTGCCAGCCGAGGACGTGCCCATTGACCCCCTGCCGTCCACGTCGGCGACAGTCGAACGGATCAGTAAACCCTGGGAGGTGGTAAAGCAGTCGGCGTTGGACGACCGACTGGACAAGAAGAACGGCAAGATCCCACGAGGTCGCGATCACAAAATGTGCAAGCACGGGCCCAAGGGCATGTGCGACTACTGCATGCCCCTCGACCCCTTCAACGCCAAGTACCTCGACGAAAAGAAGATCAAATACCTGTCCATCCACTCCTACCTGCGCAAGAACAACGCCGCCACGAACAAGCCCGAACTCGGAAGCTCCTTCATCCCGCCGCTGCAGGAGCCTTATTTCCGCGTCAAGCGGGACTGTCCCTC